AAGTGGCTTTCGCCCAAGCACCGTCCGCGCGGAATTTAAAAAAAAATTGTAAGTGGCCTATGTGTTCTTCCAGACTATCAGCTACATCTATGCCAAATTTCAGAGAAATTTCAGAGATTCGTTCAGCCGTTTAGGCTCTAACAAGATGGATGTCATCCATCCATCCAAACTTTCGAATTTATAATATCAGCAAGATAAATAATCATTTTTAAAATATATCTGAAAGTGTCTTTATTCTTAGGATTATTATTTGATCTTTCTACTACTGAAATAAGTTTGTTTTTGTGGTTCTAAAAATACTTTTAAACCAGTCTAAAGCACATATATTTCTCTGTCAAATGAAATGAATCACAAAACTTACCCCATATCACTTAACAAAACTGAATAACCAAAATATTTAGATTCGGCATCAGGTAAATAAGTTATTTTACTGCCTTCATGAAAAATAACACTACACCCACATAAAATCACTTTTAAAATAAAAATAAAAGCACATGATTTAATTATTTCCATTGTGAATAAAACTATTGTAATAAAAATATGTACATACAAGCGTCTGCAATAAAATAACGATGGACACTGGTACAATGTTTATGTCAAGTAATGAAACGGTATTTACTTTCAAACGAAAATGAACTTTAGACCACACATAATAAGTACTGATTTACGTTACCACTAACGCAAGATAGTTTTAATATTACATTGTCGTATGTTATCGTTATTTAATGTGAACTAATTATCATTAATAGTAATAATAAGATTAAATAATTAATAATAATTAGTTTAAAAAAATAATTATGCTTTAAATTTTAATTTAATTAGAGTATTCAATTAAAATTTGAAGTGTACATGCAATGCAAGGATACTGCCATTGTCCCAAACTATACAGGTACAGTAGGGGACACTGGCAGTGTACCACTTTAAGTGACAGCTTGGATGTTTTGTTTGTATAGATGACGCGGAACTATAATCAAGAAGTTTTTAAATTATTTTAAACTAGCTGTTCCAGTGCGGCTTCATCCGCATGAAATGTCAAAATTCAAATGCATAAATGACAATTGCTTCTTTGATGTTGGCAGCAACTTATGGTCTCTTTCCCTCATTAGGATTTTTATACAAAACATTTACCCCCTAAGTTTAATGGCGTGAAAATATATAGCCTAAAGCGTGACGTAAGTGTAGGGCTTTTTATTAAAGAAAAAAAACTATTCAAAAGTATGCTGTGATTGCTGACATCTTAGGCAACAAAGAAGTGTGTGTTTACGCTTTATTATAATAGTATAGATATGTCATTTCAAAAAAAGATCGGTGACAAATCATTGCTTTTTATTATTATTCCGTGGTTATGATAGCTACCTAATTGGTTATTTGTTAGGGGCGGAGTTTGTCTTGTAATAAGGCAATATTTATGAAAGTGTGATACCGCGTATTTCAGCAACTGTACATACAAAAATGACAAATTACTTTATATGAACAATTTATCGTACTCTTTCCTGTGAGATAAACTTTGCCGCTCGGACTACTAAATGTAAGTTTAAAGGTTTGAGCGCACTTGTCCACTCATCTCCCATCTAGTACAGCAATGACATCGCTGCGATTAAAACTTGATCGGTGTTCCGACCACGGGGCTTGCGCCGCCCCTAACGGGACGTGATGTGCTACCTGGTTCGTGTGGACTTGATAATTGCGCGATAACCTTTATTTACATGTGATGTAAATCTGTCACGCAATAGCTTGATCAATAGTATACACGTTACGATATTGACTATTGTACATTACCTTATATCTCGTTAAAGTTGTCTTCTCTTAATTGGGTATATACTAAATATATGGATATCGCATTTTAATTTATGTTTAGTCGACATGTCATCTTCTCTTCCCACTTAAAAAATTACAAGCTCGATTAAACTGGGAATTTACAAAATCGGAATGGCGAATTCAAACTATAAAATACTATGTTAAAAGTATGAAATTCGCGGAAATTGCGTAAATACTTATAAATATGACTAATTAATCTGTTAACGGAAGTAGAAATATTCACACAATTATAATGAAATACAAATGAGTCATAAATCCATTGACTCTTCGGACAGTGGACTCACTTCCACTCCAACAATGCGTCATACTTTACGTTTTCACCCAAAAGAAACATTTTATACACTACTAGCTGTTCCCTTGCGGCTTCATGCGCATGAAATTATGAAAATTTTATTTTATTGTTCACATTTGTCAAATTATTAATAGCAAATGTCAAAATGACAAAACTTAGCAGTCTTGCTTTCTTGATGTTGGCAACAACTTATGGTCTCTTTCCCACATTAGGGTTTTATCCAAAATATTAAGCGAGACGTAAGTGTAGGGCTTTTTATTAAAACAAAAATTATTCAAAAATATGCTGTATTTTTTGACATCTGAGGCAACAAAGAAGTGTTTACGCTTTATTATAATAGTATAGATAGATTCTAATGTTTTATTTGAAAAAGTCATAATATCTGTAATTTGTCATTGTGTCTGTAAATTGCAATTATTAATTACCACTTAGAATTTTTGAATATGATAGAAATTAAATATACTGTGTGATGAAACTCGCAATAAGTTGTAGAAATGGACTCTTGCTATTTATTTTCACCAGGTGTTAAAGGCAAGCAAAAATTTTGTCTGTAGAAGACTTATGTAGGAAGATAATTTTTTTTTAAACTAATAAAAGTACCATTAGTTTCCTCTTATACTTTTTTTCTACATGTTTATAATTTAACATTGATTTGAAACGCGTAGTCTGCGTAAACAATTTCTTACAAGGTTTTTTTTGTAGTAAATCTTTTTATGGCTATGGTAATAGTTCATTGTATTATAATTATGGTTGAAATCCAATATCAATGAATACTTTGTTTTTTCTATGGCGTTACTTAATGTACATTACAAAGAATACCTATTCCTTGAATTATACTTATTTCGAAACGAATAAGGAATACAATATAATAAGTTTGTAGAGTGGTAGTGCCTGCTTTAACATCTTAGCACGAATGGGCCGGCACGCCCGGTGTAATACCACGACCACACAGAAGACAGGCGTGAAATGGAAGCAATTCCGTGTTTCGTCTGATGAGTGTGGTGCCGAAGGCCTAATTTAAGTCACTTTCTTTTTACCACCCTTTGCTTATAAGGAAAGGATGGGAAGGGGAAGTGGATTTGACGGTGGAGGAGATGCATA